GACTTTAGACCGGTCTCATAGGAGAAAATTACAGATGGACCAGAGGAAAAGGAAGCCCAACAAACAATGGCTTACTCGTCCCGACCCATCTCAGCCGGCTAGCCCAACAAACAACGCACGCAGGGGACCACTGGGACAGCCGGCTTACCACCGAGCCCCTGCTCGCCCCCGACGTCGGCCGCTCGACTCCCGATCTTGCGCCGCCTGCCTCGCCGTCGCTAGACGCCTAGGAGTCGCCCCTGCCCTCCCCGCCCGCCCGTCCACCGCGCCCCTGCAAGCCGGCGCCTGCCGCCCAGTCCGCTCGCCGCCGACTCTGCACTCGGCCGGCAGCAAGCCAGCTACCCTGCCCGGCGGCCAGCCTTTAGCCCGATTAGAGGACGCGAGGTAAGTTGTCCATTGCGGGACTGCCCATTCCCCAATTTCAGATTTAGGGTTTGCTCTTTGCTGTCTACGGCATCAATCAGGTGGAAGAGTCAAGTCTATTTCGTTAACTAAACAATCAGGCCTGCTATCCAGTACATGAATACAGAGTCCTGTGAACACACACACACCTTATTTTGCTATCCAGTACATGAGCACCTGATCATTGACATAATAATGATTTGTCTGATTGTTCGCCCATCTAACAAGTTACTCTAACAATGCCACTCTTAACAAATTAACAATGCCACATACTCTTCTTTGAACTTCTCAAGGTATGTATTATGTAGGCTTCTCTTATGCAAAATTGAGAATTTTAGTATGTCTGTAAGACCATATTGATCTATTTCTATGTGCTATTGGTAAATTAGTTAGAATGTTGGCATGTCATATTTGTTGTCAAATTTTTCAGGTGGGCCACCCTGTTTTAAAATCCTAGACCCTCCACTGGGTACAAGAAGAGGAGATGGTGTTTGGACAGGTTGTGATCGGGCCACCAGGCTCCGGCAAGACCACCTACTGCAACGGCATGTCCCAGTTCCTCTCCCTCGTAGGAAGGTACTCAATAACTGCAGCCTTGCTATTAACTAGCTAGTACTCCATACCCCGCGGAAAAATAAACTAGTACTCCATCACTACAAGCTGCTTTCCTGACTTCCAGTGCTAGTTTCTCTTTTGCTGTTCCAATGCCTGACCTCGTGTTATGTTCAGTTTAGTGTGGTTTATCTACTCCGTATGTAATAAGGCATTTTCTGATGGGAGGTAAAGATTAGGAGAACGGCGTGGTGCATAATTTCCTTTCCATGACTGGGCTTCCAGTGTTATCCGTTCTGGTGCTTCTGTGCCAGTTATTGTCTTCCTAATTCACAAGGTCTTAGTGCTTGATTGTTGGTTGCAGGAAAGTTGCGGTCATCAATCTCGACCCCGCGAATGATGCATTGCCGTATCCTTTGCTCATTGAGCCTTGAAATGACCTTTCCCCTTGTTTTTTTTACATGTGTTGCCATCGGGTTCTGCAGTTACACTCAAAATGAGTCCTTGACAGTGATATTTAGATATGAATGTGCCATCAACATTGAGGACCTCATAAAGCTTAGTGATGTCATGTCTGAGCATTCGCTTGGTCCTAATGGAGGTTGATCCAGTGTTCAAGAATCAAGTGTACCTGTTTTATTTCTATCTTACTTATGCTGTGCTGTTGATATCTTTGTCAGGGCTTGTGTATTGCATGGATTACTTGGAGATGAATATTGACTGGCTTGAAGAGAAACTGAAACCTCTTATTGAAGGTGAGTGCAGAGTGCTATTCTCCGAACCTTGCTCTGGTGCTGTAAAAGCTGTCGTTTTGGTCAAGGGTAGAGTTAAGATCTTGAATTTTTTACTAGTATCTGTACAAATATTTAGATTGGATACTTAGATCATAGCTGTGAATTTTCAAAATATGTATTTTCGCAGTGTATGAATTCTCTTTGTATTCTACTCCCTCCGTCCCAAAACAAGTCGCTGATTTAGTACAAAGTCTGCACTAACTTTGTACTAAATCAGAGACACTTATGTTGGGACGGAGTGAGTATTATATATTGTCAGTCAAACTCTAACTGTCGATCCAGTTTGCAATCCAGATCATTGACAGAAAGGACACATATTTGTATGCATTACAAAAAAGAAAGCTAGCAATGATCTGGATTGCAAATTGATAGTCAAAGCTGTATTTTAAGACCGTCTCCATGTCCAAATAACAGCTTTAAGATAGTGAACCAGAGAAACTGAACTTATATTCTTTGGCTGTAATATCCATAAAATTGAAAATCTTTTTAAGCACTCATGTCTACTACTCCCTCCCAAAATAAGTACTCCCTCCTTCCCAAAATCTTGGGCGCATTAGTTTTAGCATGCAACCCCATAATCTAAGGCGTAGTACGTATTCTCTCTCGAGCAGTTACAGTGACGCTAAGTATGGCTTGTTATTTGGAAAGAATAAATCGCTAATTGTGGATGGGTCTTCCTTACGGTTAGCTAGCTATAATAAAGGAGTCGCTGGTTGAGGGCCCTCCAAAATCGAAGTTTGATCGGGGGCGTTCAGATTGGATCGCTCAACCATGACTTAGTCAGAGAGGAGATCGTGGGGTTAGAGAGGAGATCGTGGGAGGCAATTTTCCTCGTCCAGCCTACGACCGCTCAAGTAACGCCCACCTGCGCTATTTTTCGTGCTAAAACGTTGGACGCCCAAGATTTTGGGAAGGAGGGAGTATAAAGTTGAGACACTTATTTTGGGACAGAGGGAGTAGATAGAAAGCAGGTTGACCCAGTTCTATTCATAACTAAGCCGCCAGATTCTGTTTTGACATTGAAGTGCTGGGAACCTTTG